TCATACGTCATCAGCCCGGAGCTGCTTCCGTGTGCAACAGTTGGCTCAAGCTAGATTAAAGTGATTATTACATTTTGAATATGGATATTTTTCTTACAAAAGCGCATCGATTCGCTACAGAAGGCCTTTGTTTACCCCCCGGAGCCGTGTGAGACACTTCTTTTATGGATGGGCGCTTAAATCATCAGAACCATAAATATAAACAGTTTAAATGATAAAAATTTATCATAAACAAAACAGCAGGGCCTAGACATCAGAGTTCCATATGCAAAGAGCTCCACAAAGAAAGATCTGTCAAGTAAAGAAAACAAAGCGTAAATACAAAATACAAATGCCTTTAACAACTGAATATAAAATGCAAATAAAATACAAAACATTAACAAATAACACACTTGCCATGAAGCAAATGCAACACAGCATTATAAACACTGAAAATACACATCAATGTGACAAACATAATCCACCGCACACATACCTCTGCCATAATCCAAGAGTGGAGCGTGACTATACGATAGAGTGGAATAGAACCGCAGCATAACACAGTTTACTGCTATAGGCTAAGCACGGAGTCCACAGCTCCGAAAATGATTAATTTACAGCCTCACATGCTCACTCTCTCGTATCGAGGGTTATCTCCCTGCGCTTAACACAAAATAACCAATATAAAAACTAAACATCTTTATACAAGCTCTTACAGTATTAAAACAACGGCCACGCTCATACCTCACTATGGCGTTTCCAGAATCACGACACCGGAAGGAGACGGCGGAAGTCAAACGTTAGGAAGTTACGCAACCCACTACTCTTTGCACTATTTATAGGGCAAAATAAACACATATGCCCCACCCAACACACCATTCTTATTATTAACTCTGTCACACATGCATCGTTCATTTATATTTCTACATGGCTACCTGCAATACAACTCTAATTCTACAATCGCGCCATCTAGTGGTCTGTCATTGATACAACCACAACTTCTACAACTGATAATGGAGCGCTCAAGCGGTACTGCGAGTCATGTTGAGGTAATTAAAATGTCAAATTAATATTTTGCTTTCAATTATAATCTGTATATCTGTATTTATGTTCTACTGTTAGTGTTATCTGTATGCACCAAGGGTCTGAGAGTAACGCAATTTCAATTCTCTGTGTGTATGTGCTGTACATGTGGAAGAATTGACAATAAAGCAGACTTGAACTTGAACTTGAATCTAGTGGTCTGTCATTGATACAACCACAACTTCTACAACTGATAATGGAGCGCTCAAGCGGTACTGCGAGTCATGTTGAGGTAATTAAAATGTCAAATTAATATTTTGCTTTCAATTATTTACTTATCAGACAAGTGGCCGCATGATAAGCGGGAAAATTACACTGTGTAGTCTTTATCACCCTATAGAGGTTTCTTTTGCAAAGTAATCTGCTGACTGTACACTAACCCTCAGCCTTGCCGCACCCCCCAGTTTGGGAACCACTGGAGTAGGCGATTTGTGCTCTATTAATTTGGTCTGTTACGATGCTCTATGTGTTTGATTACTAATGCTTGTGTAGTACGGCGTTGCACAGAGGACAAAAACGTTCAGCCTCGACTCTTTATTGTCATTTGTGTTCAAATTTGCAAAGCGTACCAAATTGAACAAAACAATATAAATGCTAAATTTGAATTTATGAATATATAATGGTATCCACGGTATAGCAAAATCCATATCATGGAACAACATAATACTGGTAGTCACGTTCATATATACATATAGCGCCCACCCCTCATGTATCCCAGTGAGAGCAGCCTCAACTCGGCTAGTCCTTCTGACATTTGCTGCTGGCTCTGATGTCTCTGTAGTGGTTAAACATGAGCTACGTTTCGTTTTGGGTAAATCTAACGGGCAGTCTTGTTTACATCGTTTACATAATATATATGTTACATAATACATCTTGTTTACATAATACAGGTGCATCTCAATAAATTAGAATGTTGTGGAAAAGTTCATTTATTTCAGTAATTCAACTCAAATTGTGAAACTCGTGTATTAAATAAATTCAATGCACACAGACTGAAGTAGTTTAAGTCTTTGGTCCTTTTAATTGTGATGATTTTGGCTCACATTTAACAAAAACCCACCAATTCACTATCTCAACAAATTAAATACTTCATAAGTTTGTTTCTCATTTTCCTCTTGACAATACCCCATAGATTCTCTATGGGGTTCAGGTCTGGTGAGTTTGCTGGCCAGTCAAGCACACCAACACCATGGTCATTTAACCAACTTTTGGTGCTTTTGGCAGTGTGGGCAGGTGCCAAATCCTGCTGGAAAATGAAATCAGCATCTTCAAAAAGCTGGTCAGCAGAAGGAAGCATGAAGTGCTCCAAAATTTCTTGGTAAACGGGTGCAGTGACGTTGGTTTTCAAAAAACACAATGGACCAACACCAGCAGATGACATTGCACCCCAAATCATCACAGACTGTGGAAACTTAACACTGGACTTCAAGCAACTTGGGCTTGAAGCTAAATTAATCTAAATTAACTGATTAATGTTAAATTAATCAGTTTTACATACAAACATTGTATATGTGCATATGCATGTATGTGCGAGTGCTATTACAAACTCGAGTTAAAATAGTTTTGAAAGAAGTGTTTGCTTTTGCAAGATGTGGGTAAAGTTTTCCATGTGTGTGTGTTTTGTGGTTCCCTATCGATACTTCACTCGTACTGCGTCTGCTAAGACGCTTTGGGAAAACTCCTTTTTCTCCGATGACTGAAGCCTTTCAATAACGCAGTGTAACTGCACAGCCATTGGTTCGTGCAGTGAATAAAAAAACGAACCAATGGCTCGGCGGCGGAGCTGCACGAGCCTATGGCGACAAATCCCGCCAAAGCCCGCCAGAATGGGCGGGGCCCTCTGGCTATATAATCGTGTACTCGTACTCATTCCGTATCTCAGGGAACCGAGGTTACGTTAGTAACCGAATACGTTTTGTGTGTAGTATTCGGAGGCCGAACACAGTGGCTGAACGCTTCCAGCTTATCGAATCTTGAGTGAAAAAAGCAATGGACACCTTGACAATTAGCACACCAAAAGCCTATAGCAGGCGAATGGCTCAAATCAAAACTACTGTGAGACAGTACACCACTTAAAAAGTGAAGTGAAAGTGACGTGACATGTGGCCAAGTTTGGTGACCCATACTCCGAATTAGTGCTCTGCATTTATCCCATCCAAAGTGCACACACACAGCAGTGAACACACACACACCGTGAACACACACCCGGAGCAGTGGGCAGCCATTTTTTGCTGCGGCACCCGGGGAGCAGTTGGGGGTTCGGTGCCTTGCTCAAGGGCACCTCAGTCATGGTATTGAAGGTGGAAGAGAGCGCTGTACATTCACTCCCCCCACCTACAATCCCTGCCGGTACGAGACTCGAACCCGCAACCTTGGGTTACGAGTCTGACTCTCTAACCATTAGGTCATGACTTAAGTGCAGTAAATGAGTGATACAAATATCAAAAGCTTCTTCTTAGCCGATGGCTATTATTCTGATTACAAGTGCTATCAAAATACAATCTATAAACAATCTATAAATAAAGAATAAAAATAAAAATATATAGTAAAGGAAATAATCCTTCCTAGCAACAAATAAAAATCTAAACAACAGAAATAGAAACAAGGTATTAAGCAAACACTTAAACATTACCAGCTTCTCTGCGGAGTAAATCGCTTCTCCACAGTATAGGGCTATTTCATTCAGAATAAGAAATGCTCCAGCTACTTTTCAGAGATCAAATATTAGGCATAAAAAAAAAAAATTCTAGGGCTGCCCTCGACTAAACATTTGTCTGGTCGACTAGTAGTCGTTCATTTGAAGCATTAGTCGACTAATCGCATGTTTGTTAATAAACCATTAAAATCATAATAATGCACCTTTAATTGCCTACATAGCCTATAAGCGCTCAAGCACACGCATAAAGCTTGCCACGGCACACCGGCAGAAGTAATGATTATGAATGTGTCAGGGAAAAACAGTAAGGAGGCTACTAGTAGTCGTTCATTTTAAGCATTAGTCGACTAATCGCACATTTATTAATAAACTATTTAAATCATTATAATGAGCCTTTAATTGCCTACATAGCCTATGTAATAAGTGCTCAAGCACAGGTATAAAGCTTGCCACAGCGCACCGGCAGAAGCTAGTGATTATGAATGTGTCAGGGAAAAACAGTAAGGAGGCTGCATTAACATTTTAATAATTCATTGATAAACCAGTGCTTTTTTGTTTTCGGTTTAAGAGATGAAGTTGGCGACACTGTCCCTTCATCTCCGCAGTAGTGGATGCGCCTGTTGTGGATTACATAAATCGGAGAATATTTGTTTTCCATTTGAATTGGTTTATTTGAATATTATTATATTATCATATATTATATTGGATATTATTTTTTCTGAAATTTTAGACAAATGGTAGATTTTAAATCAGTTGGTAATTAATCATTTTTTTTGGGCCAAATTGTGCTTGTTTTTGATAAAGGGTTAATAACTGCTAGCTTGAATATATTTGGGATGTGTTCTAAAAGCAAAGAGTTAACAATATTGAAAAGAGTTTCTAAAATTATATGCATCACCCATTCAGTAGCTTACTGCATGTACTATCTAGCATATATGTTGGTTAATATTTTGATGTCTGTTTTTTGTGCTGTTAATCTGGGAGTGACTTTCATTTGCCTTTTTTCACCTTAGACCTCATGCTGCTGAAAGAGGAGTGCAAAGTACTGAATGAAATGGTAGAGAAAGAACAATATCAAAAGACTTTCAATGAACATGGAAACCTTAAAATCCACATGAAAATTCACACTGGAAAGAAGCCTTTCACCTGCCAACAGTGTGGAATCAGTTTCACTCAAAAAGGCATGCTTAGCAGGCACATAAGGATTCACACTGGGGAGAAGCCTTTCACCTGCCAACAGTGTGAAAAAAGTTTCAATAGAAAAGAAAACCTTAATTTGCACATGAGAGTTCACACTGGGGAGAACCCTTTCACCTGCCAACAGTGTGGAATACGTTTTACTCACAAAGGAAACCTTAACAGGCACATGAGGATTCACACTAGAGTCGAGCCTTACACCTGCCCTGGGTGTGGAAAGAGTTTCAGTCAACTTGGAAACCTTAAAGTGCACATGAGAATTCACACTGGGGAGAACCCTTTCACCTGCCAACAGTGTGGGATAAGCTTTACTCAAAAAGTAAGCCTTGAAAGACACATGAGAATTCACACTGGGGAGAAGCCTTACACTTGCCAATGGTGTGGAAAGAGTTTCAGTGAGCATGGAAGCCTTAAAGTCCACACGAGAGTTCACACTGGAGAGAGTCCATTTATCTGCCAACAGTGTGGAATAAGCTTCATTCAAAAAGGAATCCTTAAAAGACACATGAGAATTCACACTGGAGAAAAGCCTTACACTTGCCAACAGTGTGGGATAAGCTTTACTCAAAAAGTAAGCCTTGAAAGACACATGAGAATTCACACTGGGGAGAAGCCTTACACTTGCCAATGGTGTGGAAAGAGTTTCAGTGAGCATGGAAGCCTTAAAGTCCACATGAGAATTCACACAGGAGAGAGGCCTTACGTGTGCCATCAGTGTGGAAAAAGTTTCAACCGAAAAGGAGACCTTAATTACCACATGAGAGTTCACACTGGGGAGAACTCTTACACCTGCCAACAGTGTGGAAAAAGTTTTACTCTAAAAGGAAGCCTTAACAGGCACATGAGAAAATTACACTGCATACAATCAACACAATCTTAATCAACACATGAGGACTCAAAAGAGAACTGTTTTATTCTTTTGAATAAAACGAGCAAGTTCTATTTAGTGACTGAGTGTTTGTTTGGCATGCTGATCTCTTTATACAGTTCCAGCTTCCTGTCACGTGAATGGTCACATGACAGGCCAACCATACATTTCTTAAAGACATACACACTAAAATGTTAAGAGGAATAAAATGGACTTAAGAAAACATGTAATCCAGTTAAAACTCTATTATACATAAAATCATTGCAATAAATAGAGCGGTAAAACATGTCTCTTGTGTAACAGTGTCACAAACTAGCAGTGGATGCAAGCCTTTCATGTGCCATTACTGTGGAAAGACTTTCAGAAACAATCCTACTGTGAACCTCAAGGAACCCAGATAGCAAAATTCCTGAGGCCTAGATCAGGCCCACACCTGACGCTTTCATTTGGCCCACATACCCTGTGGAATGATGGCAATTGGGCGGTCCGCTCCTGTTTGCTAGATTTGGGCCACAAGTAAGCCAAAAGAAGGCCCAATGTCAGCCATGAATAAACCAAATAAAGCAGAACTGGCCCAAATCTGGGCCACATTGATTTGAATTCTGGACCAGATCCGGCCCAGATCCAACACCTTGCTCTGGGCCACATACTGTGAAGAATGATGGCACTTGGGCGGTCCGTTCCTGTTTGCCAAATTTGGGCCACAAGCAAAGCCACAGGTAGGCCGCATGTCAGCCATGAAAATAAATAAATAAAATAAACCAGAACTGGCCCAAATCTGGGCCACATTTATTTTAATTCTGGCCCAGATCTGGCCCAGATCCAACACCTT